GTTTTTTCAATAAATAAATTCTATTTTTGATAAATCACTTGCCCACGGGCAAGTGGTTGATAAAATTTCACTTGCCCACCCCTAAAATTCACTAGCCCCGGGCGTCGGGCAATGGGATTTGTCATCCCCTGAAACTCAGGTGACCTAAAAACAAACGACTGTAGAGAGTGTACTGTTTTTTTCAAGCAGAAGCTGTACAAAAAAAAAGAATTTGATCACTATTGATATTGAGTTAAAATTTGATTGGGATTGAAGTTCACTTTAGAAATTAATTTAATTTTTTAAGATTCATGAGGTTATGAACTATGACGCTTCACGCCGGCATATTGCATGAAACGCGTTAGCGCATCATGATAAATATTCCGGCGTGAAGCGTTGTAGTTTATATACCTCATGAATCTTCAAAAATTAAATTCATTTCTTATATTTACATTATTTTTCTGTTGACTTGCCATAAATTTACGTCATTCAACTGTCATTTTTAAAGCAAAACAGTGTGCACTATATTTTTTGATGTCAAGTGCAGTATTATGATGTAACAATGGAGATATTATACACTTATCCACTGGTTGTGAGTGGGATAGCTCTTTTACCAAACCCGCGACAGGAACTATTCCCCGAGGGCTTGCCCGAGGGGAATAGTTCCTGTCAAGGGTTTGATAAAAGAGCTATCCCACTCACAACCAGTGGATAAGCGTTTTATTATACTGATGTATAATATAATTTTTGAGGTTCGAATTTTTTGGAGTAAGATAATACTGCAAGAATAATCTGAAATCCTGATGATGTCACTGAAGTCATTATGACATCATAATGTCTATTGATTTATCGCTGGAAATCAAAATTGGCGGCAAAAATTGAATAAATATTTTCCAAGGGTGGATAGCAAAAGCTAAACGCCGGGTATAGCTCTGCTATGCGTGAACTATAAAAAATTGTTATTTTACCTTCTTAACTTTATATAGGAAACATTTTAACAGAAGTATAATAATCATGCTTGTTCATGGTACATATGTCTGTAGTTCATGAGAAAATGAACTGGATTTTATTTTGTAAAGAATCATAGGGGAAATTTATTGGAAATGTAAATATTACAAATTGAATTCTCCTTGGTCACTTGTCCAAATGAACAAGTACTAGGTAAAACAAGAGACCCATGGGCCACATCACTCACCTGAGTAGCTTTGACCATGCTGTTCTTTACCAAATTTCCCTTGTGTAATACATACTGTGACCCTACCATATTGTTTGAGTCATAATTTGAACAATTTAGAATCTACACTACCCCAGAATGCTTCCACATAAGTTTCAACTTTTCTGGCCCAGTGGTTCTTGAGAAGATTTTTAAAGTTTTTCACTACATATTTCCATGTAAAACTTTGGATTCCCTTTTTTGGCCCTGTCCTACCTCAGGAGTCATGATTTGAACATTTTTAGAATCTACACTATTCCATGAACATCTACACTATCTGAATGCAGAAGCTGTTCACAGATTTTGGAAATAAGTGGAATGTTAATATTTCCATTTCCTATTTCTATTTGTTTTCTCTGTGATAACTCTTTGAAAGTTGCTAGAGTTGATTTCTTGATCATTCTACTGGAATGTACATCAAGTGATATGTGAGGAGCTAAGGAGGCCTAGTATGTATGTAGATCTTGTGCATCTGTACGAGGGCCGTTCAAAAATTATGCGGACTGTGCTATTATTTACTCTTAAAGAAGTCATATTGTTATGAAGTTTCACAGAAATATGCATCTTAAAGATTCCAATAAATTTTGGGCAAAATTTCTGTATTTTAAAAAAATTCTACTTAAATTATTGATATGTTGATATCGCTGATGGAGAGGTACATAGCACAACAAAAAACTGAAGCAAAAGTATGCAGAATCCAAATTTTACTCATTAATTTTCTATAATTTCTGATATTTTTCGACAATATTCTCAAATGTATCTTTAAATTGTTCTGTTATTACGTTTTTAGATTTCTGACGTGAAATTTGAAGTACTAACAAAAATATAGTGATTTTTCTCTGATGCGATTCCGGTGAAAACAACTGTAAAAATGATGTCTCCTAAATTGACGGCGCACCACATTTATATTAAATTATGTTATGAGATATTGCCAACATATATCCAAAATATGCATAATTAAACATGTAGTAAACTAGGATATTCGTGACATCCGTCCACAAATAGCAAATTGAAATTTTAGACCGTTAAACCTCTGTAAAAAGGCTTTACGGGAGGACGGAAAGAAGATTATCGATAAAAACTTTATCCGGACTGTAAAGAATGTGACTGAGAGTCACCAATATCACACTATATCTCATAAATACCTGCAGTATTTGGTTTTAAAACATAAAAAAATATTCTCTTCTTGTTTAAGGTAGGTCCCTACTCGTAGAATTAATTGGATAACGGTGCAATTTTTGTCCTGATTTACATTAAAAGATACTTTATCTACTTCAAAAGCACAAAAAGTAGAGAGATATTTTTACTGAGATAGGGTGTGAAACACTCATGTACCCTCGTGTAGAAAAAACTAGAAATATGTCCATAGGACATGAATGCCCCGCCTAGGATATATTAGTAAAACAACATGAAAATTTGTATAAAATTTGATCAGTTTGGTTCAGGTAGGACTTATAGATACTTGGGAATGAAAATATAGGTCGGATCCAGCATCCGAAGCAAGTCTGGTAGTGTCCATCCCTAGATGCATCATCCATGCAAGTTTGGTTCAGGCAGGGCTTATAGTTACTTGGGAATGAAAATATAGGTCAGATTCAGCATCTGAAGCAAGTCTGGTAGTGTCCATCCCAAGATGCATGATCCATGCAAGTTTGGTTCAGGTAGGACTTATAATTACTTGGGAATGAAAATATAGGTCAGATCCAGCATCGGAAGCAAGTCTGGTAGTGTCCATCCCTAGATTCATCATCCATGCAAGTTTGGTTCAGGCAGGGCTTATAGTTACTTGGGAATGAAAATATAGGTCAGATCCAGCATCCGAAGCAAGTCTGGAAGTGTCCATCTCTAGATGCATCAGCCATGCACGTTTGGTTCAGGCAGGACTTATAGTTACTTAGGAATGGACCTGCTCCAAAAACTTTAATCTGGTCACTCATCTGGAAAATGTAGGTCAGATCCAGCATCTGAAGCAAGTCTGATAGTGTGCATCCCTAGATGCATCATCCGTGCAAGTTTGTATCGACTTGTGAAGTTTGATAACACCATCTTGAACGGTATGTTTAAAACTGAGCTAAACACTAATGTAAGAAAAGTGAGGTCAAGGTTAAAGGAAAAGTCAAGGTCAAAAAATGTTGATGCAGTTGCATAGCTCTCATCAATATCTATCAGCATATGAAGTTTGATGAAAATATCTTGGATAGTTTCTTTGAAACTTAGCTTTGAACAGAGCTAAACGCAAAGTGTGACGGAAGGACGGAAGACGGACATGACAAACACTATATGCTCCGGCCATATTCATGGCGGGGCATAACAAAATCATCACTGTTATGAAGACGGTTTACATTTTATGTCATAGCACATGGCAAATAAATTCTTTTGAACATAAATTACAAGGATAAGGATAATATTTAATAATTTCAGGCTACGGTACACATTTCTGCTTAAAACTAAGAAAATATTGAAGAATTAATCTCATTTTACTAATAAAGTAACAGTGCTCAAAATTCAAATAAAGCTCTCTATTAGAATAATTAATTTGTTTACCCTGATTTTTTTGGTCTTTATTTTAATATAGCAACCAATGCTTGAAGTATCTTATAGGCATGATAAATGTATTGGCCGTCTGTTTTTTCACTGAGATATAGGGTAAAACATACAGGTACCCCCATTGTAGTTCAATAGCTAAAGCCTTTTATGTTGACAAAGATATTTATAAATCAGCTAAAAAGTGAAATATTCTTTTTAAGAATAATTTTATCATTATTTACACACCCTTTCCTAACCACAAACATAAATTTTATTCTCAATTTAATTCTTTATTCATTATATAGTGTGAACATGTCCACTATTGATGATCTGACTTTCCTGGATGCTTATTACTACTTATAAAAAAATTATAAGCAAGATATTCAATGTCTTTCAAGCAAAATTATGTCTAAAATTGCATATACATCATTAGTAACAAGTGTTGTTGGTTTTTAATTATAACTGAGTACCTGAGTTCGTATGTAGAAAATTTGCCGTCAAAAACGAAAGTAGGAAAGTCCCATCTGCACAGCAATCAAATTGTGCATAAATGAAAACAATAAATGAAAAGTTTTATTTAATGACATAATAGCTAATTATTCACCACATTTTCTGTACATAGGTATCAGAAATATTTGAGATGTACCAATGCAATCATAAACGTCTAGTTTCAGTATAACCTCCTAGGCAAAAAATATACCGCATCTGAAATGCATGTCCGGCATTTGACCTCGCGCTTGTGTTTTAATTCGTTTCAATTTTCTGCCACATACTGTATGTATCTCAATCCTTGCACAAAAATACCCTCAATCATCTTTATACACCCCTCCAACATTTCTGTAGACATTGTTTACATTCTTGCTAATGTTATATGTACCATAATATTGAAACCGAAAACGGCTAATTCCGGCTTCCGGTTTACCACGAGTAGCCCCCTACTTTAATAGACCTTAAGCTTGACAAGAATTTTTTGGATGTTGAGTAGATAAGGTAACTAAAACTGTACAGGTACTTGGGAAAATGTTGAGAAAATGAAAGCTCAATCACATATTTTTTTAATAATGCCTGTGACATCAACGATAGTTGGAAACATGGGATAACTTATGCATAATGGGCTTTGTCTGTTATACAAATTTTTCAACATTTTCAAACTATCGCTGATGCCCTGGTATACTCTACTAACTAGACAATGATTCCTTAAATGTATCATAAAATAAACATGAGATGTATGCTTATCCCCTGCATCCTATCGGGTCATGTCCTATTAGCTACTAAGACTAACCTGAGTGACCTGATGGTGGGCAGTCTCTGTGACCCCTCAACCTGACCAATCAGACCCACTGACAAGGACTTCACTTGGTGCTTCATTTTCCTACAACAGAAAAGTCAATGAGTTTAACAGCATCTGTATTGAATTCAAAAAATGGGCAAGTAAGCAAGTAGAAGTACTTAACTATGATTATTTTTGCATTTTCTGCATTTTAATATTGCAATCTAAGAATACAGAATTGACTTGATTGTGGGTTGTTACCTACTATTTACTTGTTCAACCTGTGTGCTTTCAACACGAATCAGTGTTAAATTTGACAAGAGTCACCAAGTGGTTTTGTTCCCATGTAGGCAATTAATTTTAAGTTTCACATTTTATTATTCATTTCTTCTGTACATAGGATTTTTTTAAAAATACTGATCATCTATATTTTAACTATTAAAATTATGTTAATAAATTATGGTGTTTATTTATTGTATGCAATTTAATTTGGAGAAATTGTTTCGATACTTAGTGTTTATATAGATACAATCCCACAGTGCAATTAACTTATTAGAGCTATCCATGAAAACATATTTAGAAAATACATGTATTTGATTAAGATTTACCGGGGTATATATTTATGGAAAACTGTTCAAATACAAATCAGTGGTTGGTTTACCCTTGCTTTGCCATAGTAAGATTACCCATTAGGAAACCATATCTACTTATTAACTGCATGTCAATGTTTACATATACAGTGGACCTTCAGATATCCGGATGCTTCAGTATCCGGACGATTTTTCATCGGAACGGAATTCCTTAATGTTATTTTGTCTTGTTAAACTGGTAATTCAGATATCCGGAAGCTTCACATATCCAGACAAATTTACTGGGAACCAAAGTGTCGGGATAAATGAGGCTCCACTGTACTGAAACCAGGGCCTATTGACATATTTCTCTGAAGCCATAGGCCTAAGCCCAAACAGCTAACCATGCTGGCTGAGAAGAGAATCAGAATGTACTAACCACTTGAACCCATCACTTAAAGACCCAATTTTTTTACCGTACGGTTACCTGAGGAGGGGGAGTGGTCCAAGTAACAGTGGTGTTATTTACCTGGAGACCCCCAATACCCAAGATGTCAAAAATCTAAATACATGTACCATTACACAGGAAGTCTGTGTCTGGTGATCAGGGTCAACATTCCATGTTTAGTGTCTAAATTTGAGTGAAACTACTTGAAATAATTGAAATATTTCAATTTAAAATTTATTTATAAATACATCCAGCGATATCTAATGAAGAAAAAAATTATAAAGAAATATCGGTTTTATATTTTTTAAAAAAAATGACAAATTAAAGAAAAGAACACAGAGTAAAACTACAAAGTAAACATATCTTTTTTAATTAAACTTGTGTAAATGTCAAAATTTAAAAGAAAAAAAATATCCCATTCATGTGTAGGCCTATCCGTCGTGTGAACATATACAATGAACCGTACCGTGATAGGAATATTGCCTACGTTCTGATCAACAATAGTGTCGAAAATATTCACCATTTCCGGGTGTTCGTGTGTTTAAAAATTTTTTTTATTGTTTGCATGATTTCTTTTAAGAATTGATCTTTGGCTGTATATATTCACTTTTTAAATTCGAATATTGGGTATTGACTGCAGATGTTAGGAAATTCGAACTAAAAGTTACAATCTCGAAACTCCTACAGCTGTTTCTGACATTTCAGAACTTTACAACGGAACATGGTATAGATTGTATTCATATATACGCAGATAAAACATGGGAAAAATGAATTTTTTATCCATGCCGTTTGTGTTAAATATCTTTTCTTATTTATCATATTCCAATTTTAATCGGCAAATAGCGTTTCTGTGCACGGACTGGTCTAAATTCTACAGCAGATATCTTGGACGACATATCGCCTAAAATACAATATAGCCGTTGAGATTAAAAGCAAATATTTTATGATATCATGTTTTAATTATCTACTCTCAACTGTTTTTAAAATAAAATTTTACCAAGATTCTTTTTTTAACCCCCGTGTATACAAGGCGGCTACATGAAAGTGTTTGACGCGAGACCAGGCAATCACTTTAAAAGGACAGAAACTCAGACTATCAGGTAGCACGGGTAGCTGCCCTGTCAATCAAATCAGAAGCTATAATTGTTTTTTTAATGATTGACAGGCGGTAAATTATTGATCTTGAACCAGGTAGATTTTGGGGGCGTTAACGTAAAATTGGGTGTTTAAACACTTAAATGTTCGGACAGTTCCTGAGGGTCAAAAAGCCTCAGCGGGATACATTTTGGGAAACCAATGTGCATTCTATCAAATATTGTACCCATGCAGTTCCCAGGATCATGAAAGGGCTTTAAACTTAAGTCAGAATTTGTATATTGTATATTTATTTAAAAAAAAAAACAAAACAAGAAGTTTAATTGCTGATTCAATCCCAATGTTCTGTCAAAATAATATGAATGCATGTTAAACTGATACTTCATAACAAAACATTATTTTAACTTTTGACCACTTATAGTTACATATCAAGTGCCCACATCATGACATTAATTTTAAATAAAGTTTTCAAGGAAATAATTTTTTAAATACAAGATCTAAGCAAACTGTATATTCAGTATAAATTGTATGATTTTATTGCAATTTTTTCAATTTTTGGTTAAACATGTTTTTTTTTCAATATCTTCTCATTAAATGAATACATATTCATTTCATTTGTAAATATTGTCCTGATGATAAAAACCCAAAATATCTGAAAGAATGCAGCTTTTATGATGGTAAGATCAAAAACATAGTTTTAAAAGATCTCTATTAAGATGCAAACTTATTTTGTTGTTTAACTATCACTACACTCACATATCTATAAAAAATTAAACAATACATTATTTACAATTACACTTTATTACCTGATCAATTTGCTCTCACCTCTGCTTGTGTCACAATGTAAGTGATTCAATTTATATAGTAATTTATTTAAATGCTAGCTGTCACCATTAAAAAATGGAATCATCCAACTAATTATGGAAGTCCTAAACTCTACTCAATATCCCAAGATCAAAGGGCAAGGAGGAACTTAATAATTTGGCAGGTGTGATAATCATTCCTTGATAATTGCCAGTGTGGTAATTAGAAAACTCAGGATAAAGTGTCACATTTAACAATAACAGACTTTGACTCTTAATTGAAGGGTCCACAAAATTAAAATCTATTTCGTATATAATCAATCTATTGGTACATAATTAATAAACAATTATCTCAATCTCTTGTAATTATCTATAATTGATGTTTTTCCTTTTTAGACATATTCTTGCAAAGTCTTAATCATTTAATAAGTTATTTGATTTTTATTTCTTTCTTTTTTTTCTCTCTAATTTTCAACTTTTTATCTTTTGGTTTCATTATCTAAAAAAAAAAGAAAAAGAAAATTGATGTGTTCACTTAGTTGCTTACCTAATAACATAAGCACTCTTACATGTACAAATTCCTTGAACAGTTAAATTAGTCAGTTTTAAAACATTTATAAAGGGGAGTTGAAATGTCATGGTGCATAAAGCTAATTTAAGCATATATATTTTTTTTTTCAGATGTTTTTCATGTTGATTCAGACAACCAGAAGAAATATGCTATCCTTAGTCTTACGCCTATTTAACGACTGGATGAGAAAAAGATCATGTTACCCTCCGCTTAAATTATAAGTATGCGTGTATATCATATTGTTGATAACATGTCATAAGACAAAAAAATATCCTTTTCTAATTTACTTTAATTTATATTCTGTCCACATCAGTTTTCATTAAATAGGTTCAATAAACACTTTACCATGTTACCTGCTCATTTTCCTTCGACTTTTTCCCGCGTTTTCAAGCCAGGATCTTTCGAACGGCAAATATCAGAAAGAACCCACAAGTGCATTTTGTTAATTCCGATATAAATAAAAACACACACTTACCTTTCAGAATAACTAACAGTATCATAAATAAATGCAAGTAAATTCAGAATGCGTGTGTTTTTGTGCTAGATGCACCAGTCTGCTAATCAATTATGTGTCTGGTGTTTACAAACAATTAATTTCAATGGACAGAGTGTATCGGTTGAACATCTTGATGAAAAGATAATGTAAATAAAATTAATTTTATTGTTTTTCCTTTTAAGAATGTACAGTTTAAAAGAAAACACTTCACACTTTAAGAGTGTAAACAGGATACCCTTAGGAATATGTTTTCTTTGATATCAAAATTTAAATACGCCCCCTAGTAACATATATGTTTACAGTTAGTAACAGATACATTCGGTGTCAAATTCGTATACAAATATTTCCTACTTTGGCAGAAAAATATTTTCAGATGCTTATTTTGACACGCATATTATTATTTCAAATTTTCATCACATTTTTTCTTCAATTTCTTAATAGGTGAAATCGTGTTCAATTTATATAATGAATCAAAAATCTTCTTTTCGAACAAATAATATAAGATAGTCCAGGATTGCAGGCTGTCCTCTGGTGCTCGATCCATTATGACGCCTAAATAAATATTATTTCTATTAATCTATCGAATTATGCAGAAAATATAGAACATTTTTGTAAGATTCCATGAAATCTATGGAAATTCAAAAAGAAATCCCGATTCCCATATTCATCAGTAGTAATATTTGTAACCCGCTTGAAATCGCGAAGGCAGTGGGACTCTAAATATCATTCGTCTGTCGGTCAGTCTATCTACGACTTTTTCTTATTTTTTTTAACGTGTATTATTATAGCCTGTGACAAACCCTATATAGATATAGAATAATTTTTTACCCTGTTTCCTTATCCGCGAAGTTTGTCTTTTCAAAAATGCCATCTTTCTTTATAAAAAAAAATGTTTGATTGAAAAGTTATTATAGGGTTTTTCATATTTTAATTGTAAGATATGCATTGCCTGTTACAAGATGTTTCCGAGCATGCCTCTATTTTTTTACCTTTTGAACTTGACCTACGTGTTTTACCTAATTACAAAAAAAAAAAAAAACCTTTGGTCATGTTGGTGATTGCGCTATCCTCTTTAATTATTAGATTGTCAAATTCATGATAATATAAGAAAAAAATATTTTGATGGATTAAATATAAAGAACACCCAAATCGTAATGTTTCATGATACTGATTATTTGTATAAAGAGTTACATCAAATTTACCAGATAGAATTAGTCAAATCTGCTTTTAGCCATAGAAAAAATCTCCTGCATGTGTAAATTTATAAATATGTATTTCATTAATAAAAAAAGTGACTCTAAGATAGGTCCAGTGGTCATGACAACGTTACAGTTAACAGGTTTTTAAAAAAAAAATTGTTTAGTTACGGTGTAAATTATGCGCAATGCCATGATTACGTAATTTACTTTTCTTTAATGACTACGGATTCTCCTAAGAAAAGTTCCTGAAAATGTCTTCCTTGCTTTCGTTAATTTGAAATCCTTTCAATATTTATATTTTATATACAGAAAAAAAAATCCACCTGGAAGACTCGCTTCATTATCCTTATCATAACTATATGTTCTCATTAATCATATACTGAGTATATGTTTTCATTTATTATGTTTTCATTTAATAGATTCTTATCTTATCTTCTTATCTATCCTCTTCGTGCCCGCTGGCACATAAGGCATTAGAATCTTTTTGGGTTGTTCGAAGATTTACATTCCATACGGATTCTGCGACTCTCCTCTAGTTGGCTTTAATTTTACAACGCAATTTATTTTTCCTGTTTTGACATTTTCTAAAAAAAATGTCACAACATGCTGAACAGCTTCAGTGTGGTTGTAAAGGTATCCGATCCTGCCTTGTCTGCGAAAAAGAAAGGAAAATAAACCTTTCTATAGACAAGGTAAATTTTCTGTTTTTTACAAACCAACAAATATCGATTGAATATTGATAGATGTTGAGCACAGAGTGACAGACGACCAAATGATTTGGTGGGCTGTGCTCAGCATGACATCACCAAATGAAACCGCGGATTAACCCCCCTTTTACCAACTGTAACTCGTATAGGAATCAGTATTGTTTATCATGGGGGTAGGGGTGGGGGTTTAATTTGCGTTCAAGCATAAAGTGATTTCCTGTTTATACGTTGTTGATGTATATTTCACAGTTGTACAGAACAATGGATTCGTGTTTATTAGAGTCATATCAATGCAACAAAATGATAAAATGACGATTGTAAAAAAAAAAAAATAAAAATCAATGAGCGGTGGGGTTTTTCCCGAACCCCCTGTTACATTCCAAATACCTGTACAGTGTATTATATATATGTTAAGGAGTAACTCTTTTACGTTGGGGGAGGGGGAGACCGGTATTTCAATAAACATTTTCATTCATAAAAAGTTAAGTGTGGGAAAAAAGGGGGAACCCCTCCTCTCTTCTTTGATGCTACAGCTGTATATAGTTGTGTTGTAAAATGAAAAAAATGAAGGCACATGGTAATATTTTTAATTTTTGGTTTTTCTTATACCATATATAGTTAATAAATGCAATTCATAAATAATCTAATAAATATACATGTATAAGACATATGTCTGAACAGAAAAGGTATAAAGGATGCCATGTCTTATTTTTAATAAATTTTGTCATATTCTTAATAAATTGTAGTGTTCCAGGAAAATACATTATTTTTGTGACCTCTGTAACAAAGCCTTTGAAGAAAGCAAAAATGAAGACCATCCAAACCACCAAGGGAAGCCTTTGGAATTTCCAGGAATCTTCATTCAGAGAGACTTTTTGTCACTTGAGGAGGAATCGGACATTTTAAAACATATCTATCAAAGTCCTTTTGTTGAATCTCAGTCTGGAAGACGGAAACAGGTAAATATTTTAACGAGGCTGGGGTGTGGCAGCCATTTTCAGACTATTTTTATCTCCTTTAAAAGGAGAGCTCCATTTGAAGATATAGAAAATGATCAAATTTTAAAACTAAAATGTATGAATTTTTTCTTTGTGAATTGATAGTAGACAGCTTAATTTACCGTATCTAAAAAAATTAGTTGAATCTGGTGGTTAATTTGTGATTAATTTGTTGACCCCCCAGCCTCCTTAATTGAGATGATTTTATCTTATATTTTACAGTACAGTGGGCTAAGGCCAAATAAAAAAAAAAAAAATAAATAATAATAGTCATGTTTCCTGCTACCAGCCTGAAAAAAGGGAATGGTAGGTAGGAAACATGTTTTATTTTTTAGCTCTACTGGTCAGAGACCAGAAGAGCTTATGCGATAATAATGCGTCTGTCGTCCGTCCGTCTGTCTAGCTGTCCGTCTATCTGTCTGTAAACAATTTTTCAAAATGCTACTCCTCTTACAGTTTTTGTCTGATTTCAATATAACTTGGCACACAAGTAGACTACACTAAGATACATAATTCTGTGCATCGGTTTTTTGATTTCGATGAACTGTACTAAAAATTGAAATTTCTGTGAAATGCTTTCGAAATGCTACTCCTCAAACAGTTTTGGTCTGATTTCAATATAACTTGGCGAACAAGTAGATTACACTAAGATAATAATTCTGTGCATTGGGTTTTGATTTCGATGAACGGTGTTGCCGTGGTTACTAAAAATAGAAATTTCTGTAAAAATGCTTTCAAAATGCTACTCCTCCTACAGTTTTGGTCTGATATCAATATAACTTGGCACACAAGAAGACTACACTAAGATACATAATTCCTCGATTGGGTTTTGATTTCAATAAAAGATGTTGCTGTGGTTACTAAAAAAAAGGAAATTTCTGTGAAATGCATTCAAAATGCTACTCCTCCTACATTTTTGGTCTGATTTCAGTATGATGTGACATGCAGGTAGACTACACTAAGATACATTGTTTTTTTTTTAAATTCATTTTCATGAATGATGGTGCCATGATAACTAAAATTGATAATTCTGTACAATTTTATTAAAAGCTACTCCTACAGTTGTAGTCTTATTGCAATATTTCCACAAAAAGTGATTTAATCAAAGATCATTACCCTATTTATTGCTGTATTAAAGTTTCAAGTCCCAATTGCTACTCTTCTATTAGTATAAACCAGTAGAGCTACAGTCTTGACAGAGACCTAGCTGGTTCATTTTATTGTTTTCCAATGGTATATTTTGGATATGAACTAATACAAAACCAAATTAAACATGTCATTTTTTTAAAAATCAAATTTCATGTCTTTTGATGCACAACTCAAGGGGTATTTTATGAAAGTCCATATTTAAAACAAATATAATATCATGAAATACCACTTGAGTATACTGTATATTAAGTAGAATTTTTAGCGAGGATTTAATTTTGGCATTATTAGCAAGGGTGCTGACATCGCTAAAATTGAATATTGCTAAAAATTAATTATGTATTATTTGTAATAGCTTCTTTAGTTAGCATTTTAAAATCGCTAAAATTACTTCTCGCTAAAATAAAATACCAGATTTTAGGTAGAAATCGCTAAATCTGCGTCTCGCTAAAATTTCCACTTATACGGTATATTTTTTTTCAGTTTTGGAACAGGAAATTACCGAAATTCCAGATTTTTTTCCAAAACTAAAAAAAAAATTAGGGTCGGGTAGCAAAAAAATAGGGTAGGTCGGGTAGCAGGAAACAAGACTATTATTATTTTTGGCCTACTCATATTTGTTGTTGTTGATGCTAATTTTTGCTGTTAATCCATACAAAGATTTTTCTTTTAATGAGCATACTGATTATTTCTCAAACATCTTTTTATATTAACTTATAATTTTTTCTACTGAATGTAATAGCAGACAATAAAGGTGAAAGGAAAATTTAAAAAATAGAAAACTAATCGATATGATAAAAGTTCATGTGTCAGACAAATAGTTTTGCTTGTTTTGGTACAATGATAAAATAAAACCCTAAGATTTATTTTTTTTTTCAGGATTATGGTCCAAAAGTGAATTTCAAGAGGAAGAAGGTTAAATCTGAACTTTTCACAGGACTTCCAAACTTCAGTAAACCACTTTATGAGAGAATGACATCAATAGAAATTCTGAAAGACTTCAAACCAGTAGAGCAATGCAATTTGGAATATGTACCAGAAAGGGGGGCATCGATAGACCCCCATTATGATGACTTCTGGTTGTGGGGTGAGAGGCTCGTGACCTTGAACTTGGGGTCAGACACAGTACTTTGTATGACATCATCAGAATGCCCTGATGTAAGCGTTCACGTGCCTATGTGTCGTCGTTCTTTGATCGTTGTTTACGGTCCGGCCAGACATACATGGATGCATGGAATTCATAGGTGTGATATCACTGACCGTAGGATAGCTATAACATTCAGGGAGTTGTCTGCAGAATTTCAACCTGGGGGTGAAAAAGAAGAAGTAGGACGGAATCTTTTGGACATTGCTTTGACATTTGAAGGTGTTTCTGTTGGCTCAATGAAAGAGTTATAGTTTCGTATGGAAAGTTTTTAAAAATACCTTTTATTCTTTGATAAAAAAAAAAAAATTGAGTTGATACAATTGTCAAAAACATGCACAAATGTATTAATATTATTATTTTTTATTTTTTTGGGAGGAGCTTTGATATTTTCAATTTGGTAGGAAGTACACAGAGAAATTTGGTGATGAAAAATATTTTTTTTTTCCTTTAGACTAAAAGTATGTGTATATGTATATTTATACCCCCCGCTTGAAAAGTGGGAGGGTATACTGTATTCGGTATGTCCGTCCGTCTGTCTGTTACGCTTTGGGTACCCACCTCTTATTCGCAACTCCTCTTACACCACTTAGTGAAATTTAATGAAACTTTCAGAGAATCTTTATTACATATTGCCATTGTGCACCTCCTATTTTACGTTTTGATCTGACACATATTTTGGGTTTCTCAGCCACAGCAAAACATGGACTTTGCCATTATAACCATATGGGAGGCTGGGGGTATCATTTAGTGAGCTCATTGCTCACAGTGCCTCTAGTTTACAATTCCAATGAATACACTTCTTACACACAGAACATTTTTTTGTATGATGCAATTGGCATGCATAATAATTATTTCCTTCACAATATATAGAACTATAAAGGATTTTTTTCACAGTACCAAAAATTAGGAGCATTTCTTGGAATGCATGGTCACATATTTTGATGAAACTTTGCCCATTATTACAACTTGTTACCAGACACATACATAATATGGTTGCTATGGTTCTTGGTTGTCATGGTGACATATGGAAAAAATGAGAATTTTAGCTTCTGCGGGTCTTTATTGAAACTAAATATAGACTTAGAAAAACAAGTAAACCACTGTAACAAAAATTACACATTTAATACTGCCACTTCTGCTATAAAGAAACTATTTAGAATATTTCTCTATGTTATTCAAAAAATATTGGTAACCATGGGTACATTTGGAAATACATTTTTTTAAATGCTGTGTTACATGATCAAAATCAACAAGAAAATGATCTCCCTTTAGAGAGCATGACGTAATTATTAAGTTTGTGAAGTGTTTTAAGGATATCTGATCCTCAGCCAGGAAGGATAACTCCAAAAATTAATATTTAATTTAAAATGCATCAAAATGAAGCTTGAAAATGAAATTTTTTCATGCAACAATTTTTATATTACCTGTATTCATCTTTATAAGATTCAAGGTTTTTGGAAGTCTTAGAAAAGGTCTTATAAAAGTTGACATTTGTACCCTATAAAAGGAAAAAAAATGAAAAGTTTTAGCGAAATAAAATTTTCTTGAATTCAACCTTAGATACCAATGCTTATTAGCATGATATGAAATAAGAAGTGATTTGTGTTGTCTTGCAATGATAGCAAAAGCCTTTTTCACTATGTTTTATAGAATACATGACGGAAATAGAAGACCAAAAATACCAAATAAGTATGAAAATCATGACAATTTCTCTGAATGCCTGGATACCTATTGTTTTTTAACCTAAAATATATTTGTTGATCAATTTGCAATTAGAAAATACATTGCTGATATTCGAATTCGCTTTTTCTGCAAAAATATTGGAGATTTGATAATTTTCCCAATATAATATGATTAACTTTAATCTTTAACTTTAAAGAAATACTGTGGATAAATTTACGTAATTTTGTGGAATCAGAGATACTTTTATGAGTAGTTTTGATTACTTAACTGCTAATTTTATAAACCTGAGGATCGGACTATCTTCAATGACCACGTCATTACCAAGCCTATTCTGTATTTTGGATATTTTTAATCACATTTCAGTACTTGGAATTGATTATAAGGTGTATCTGAATCCTTCTCTAATACTATGCAGTTATCTGTTGATCTTTCTTACCGAACAAACAACTTAATTTTAATATACCGGTAGTTCACATCTAGGTCTAATTACATGTATATTATCAATGCAGAGTCAGCTTGTCTGAAATCTGGTCTCATATAGTTTTTTTTTCTTTTTGCCTATAAAATGTCTAGTCATTCCAGAAAATGGCTTTTATTAGATACAGGGGATGGAGTCAAAAGAATTTTCTGGGAATAAATGTGTATTTTAGAAACTGACTGTGTGATGAAATGAGTTTTCCAATGGACTCCAATCGTTTATTCTCCTAAACTGTTACAACAGTGTAGAGACGATACAAACATGAAATGTGTACAATACAATACAGCATGTGTGAGAAAAATAAAACAAACAATGAAAAATGACAGTGTCATAAACCATCCATCTTTGGTCAACAAGGTAAAGCAGACAGTGTCAATGGCACAGGGACCTACACTCCCACCACCTCCAACACATTACCGAATCATTAAATTAATATTTAGCTTTGCTGTTAATTAGTCAGTAAATCGTGATTAAAGTATCCACCTTTTTGGTACAGTATGCCCCCCCCCCCCCCCCGCTAATAAACTACCCAACAAAGTTTTTTTTTGTGGGGGGATGTTGCTTTCTTAGTTTAATCAATTCTAAAACACGAATGAAAAACACAAGTACAAGCCAAGAATGTTGGATTATTCACAAATACTGTAGCTGCAAGTGTAAAGAGTGTACTTGTCTGGCAAGACTATGTGGCATCGCATTGTGAAATTGAAATACGGTTCCAGGATGCCTTCTTATTGCCAAAACATGTGAAGATTATGATATTAATGACCTGTTGAAGTCTCTTGAATGTGGACAATATCAGTCTTGCCTGTAACCCTGCCCTCATCATAACACTTCCGTCGCTTCTGTAAATATATTTGATATTTTTCACTAGTTGAAAGGTCAGGGAAATTAGTAGATTGGATTAGGATTATCTGTTGTAAAATGTGACTAAAGATGATATCACACCACATTTTTGTTACGCTCCGAAATTCAAATAGATGCCGTACAAAGTAGATTTATTTGTATTTCATGATAATTACCCCTATTATAAAGGTTTTTTTTGGGGGGGGGGGGGGCGCTATGTGGCAAGTCCGCGAGGTCACAGATGGTTTTGAAGTCTTTTGACAATCATCTATACAGTTCGATGCCACTGGTATCATTTTTATAAGCAAATGTGAAACATTCAAAACCCTTCGTGCAACTGTAGAACAGTACACTGTTTTTGCATTGTACATCATTCACACGCAGCATCTTTGGGGAAATCTTATACTAGAACAAAAAATGATAATCCCCCCTATTTCTTTCTCAGAGTAGGAGATTTATGCTATTTCATCAATGCTAAAATCATATCGACAACATTTTGACCAAAAGCACAGGCACCTGACATTACTTATTTTTCTTTTAATAAAAAAATTATACCCCTACCTAAAAATAAAGTAGGGGGTAAAATTTTTTTTATCAAAAGAAAAATAAGTAACGTCAGGTGTACATGTCTGTGACTAAAATTTAATAGAGTAGACCACTTTTTAAAAATTGAAATATGAGTGTTTTTGAATCAATAAATCAATTAAAACGGTCCCGAAGTTGGTGCGCAGGGGGGAGGGGGGGGTGTGTGAAAATTAGTTACAGATTTGCTATTTTGTATTTCCTTCCAACTTTTCTTTCCATTGAAGGAACTATTTTACACAAATATCGGATAAAATATCTTAAGATTTTACAAATAAAACGACGGTAGCTTTTGTCCTAGTTTTGGAGAATAATCGGACAATTATCCATTCCAAATTTATCCGTCATACAAATGAAACAATTCTGTCAAAATAAATGGTGTAAAAATACCAGCGTAAAATATTTATTATGCCTTTTTCTATTTGTTAAAACTAAATATTGAGATTTTCTTTATCGGAGGAAAACAACAGATTGATTTTCATTTGTAATTGGAACTAATTTACTTTCACACAAATTTGATTGAAAGATGACATTTTATACATAAGTGCATTGGCATTGTCCCAGATAGTATTTAGTTTGAATGCACCGAGGAGAGGAAAGGGTGAAAAGAGCACCCCCCCCCCCCCCACTTTCCTAAAGGATCACCCCATGGACGATGTTAGACTAATCGTAATGACATTATGTTACAATAGCAATTACTTTAGTATAGTAAACAGTTAACGTTATATGCTGTAGCTTAGTGAATGAACTTTGAACACTTTAGTCATAGAATGAAAATCACAAGCCGTTGTCTTGCTGAAACATTCAACTTGTATACTTAGGTCAAGTATTTAGGGTGTCATTGTCCAAATAAAAGCAAAGTACTAACTTCGTCTCAACTTTACACAGTACATGTACATTTTTATTGTAGCAAGATTAATATTTTTTTCCTTTTCAGAGTGCGCGCGAGAAAAAATGTAGAAAACTCAAACGTTGCAATGACGTCACAATGCATTTGAAATGACGTTACGTTTATAATCTCGCAGAACGTAACCGGAAATGACACTAAACGTATAAAAATGGACGAATTTGCGGAATAAAACGACAAACCACTCCTCGAATATGAAGGATGAATGTTATATCTTTTTCGGTAAGAAAGCAATCGGCATGGCAGGACGATCTCCAACATTCTGTGCATAATTTGGCAAGGATCAGTAGGTCTACAACTTCACAAACGTCCGAAAATGATAGTAATGAAATTCGCCGCCGAAGGGACAGGACCAAGGATTTGTTTGGAAAACTAAAAGAAATTGTCACTTCCAGAAAATATAGAGATGTAGACTGGCATCGCATTGTCATCAATGTCGGTGGAACTAAATTTTCAGTGTACAATGGCACGATTAGGACAGTTCCTGGAACTAGACTTGCAAATTTGAGTCTTAAAAGTGAAGAATATGATCGCATGAACAATGAGTATTTCTTTGATAGAAATCCAGAATTATTCCCATACATTCTAGATTTTTACCGATATGGGGAAATGCATATTCCCAGATTTATATGTGCAAAGAAATTGTTGAGTGAAATGAAATACTGGGGTCTGAATGGGTCATGTCTATCTCATTGCTGTAGGAAGTATTATTATGATTCCCTAGACGAGATATTTGATTATGAAGACTTGCAAAAAATGTTTGAAACCGTCCCTGAAAAGCTTCACACAGTGGACAGCGGGAGTAATTTTGGAGACACGGATATTCGACACAGGATTTGGTCACTCTTGAACAACCCGTCATCGTCGACGTCGGCAAAGGTATTCTTATATTATAAGATATCAAAATTATGAAATCAAACAGCATGCAGATGTCCCATTATCAACAAACTACTAGTATATACAGTAATGCACATTTGTAATGATTGTAAGTTCGTTTTTTTCTTATTTTGCTTTACGTCGATTGCTATTTTCACTTCTCAAACCTTGATGGGTGTGTAAGTTGATTAAAAGAGGGACAAATGATATAATATATAAAAAATAGTATAAGAATATACTATAAACATATAAAAAAAAACCCTGATCCTTCTTATATCCCATCAAAATTAATGGCAAATGTTTAATAATTATGTTGTTTGTACATTTATGACACGTAATAATTAATTTTATCTCGTGAAAACGAAATAATATCTCGTCAAAACTGCATATTACTTGTATCTCGTGAAAACGACTTATCTCGTAAAAACAACTTATCTCGTAAAAACGACTTTTTTTTTTGTTTTCTCGAGATATCAATTCACGAGATATCACATTTTCACAAGATAATAGTCGCGTTCACGAGATATCTCATTTTCAACATAATATGTCGTTTTCACAAGATAATAAGTCGTTTTCATGAGTTAATATGTCGCTTCACGAGATGGTATGTCGTTTTCACGTGATTTTATTTTGTTTTAACGAGATGATTTTCGATTTCACAAGACAAATTTTTCATGTTATCCTAAAAAAATTAAATGCGTGTCCTATATGTACCACCGTACTTTCACTGGCGTCTTAAAAAATTAAAATACCCGGCGGGATAGATTCACAGCACGTGTTTGACAATGTTCAGGGACTTTTTCATTTGGTAATATTCATAATTGCTGTTCAATACCCATAGTTAAAACTGCTTTTATAGTAGTGTACGTGTATGCATGATTTTTATGGCCCTGTAATTGAAGATTCGGTGACATTAAATTTTTTGATTTTTTTCATTTCGTCCTTCTATCTATCTGTCTATCCGAAAAAAAACTTTATGGACATACGCAACATAATTTGGACTTCAATACCTTATTTCCTGTATAGTTGAAAATAGCTAAAATTATTGGATTTTTGGGGTAATTTTATGATGCCTTTCAATACTGTTCATTTATCGGACCTATTTTTTTTCTGTAAGATAGTCTTATGGTTCTATCATTTTAAATTGAGAATATCTTAGTAAATTATCAATTGGAAAGGTACATTGTGGAGTTTGTGGACATGTACGTTGCTTATGTCCCTTACCCTTCCAATAAATATTGATAGGTTTAACTATGGCTTTCATAATTTAAAAGTAAATTCCTCATGACAACACCTTTCTTTGGGTACCAACATATTTGAACTCCTGACTTTGGAGTTTGGCCCACTTTTGCAAAATTTTACCTAACTTTAACCTTGGCAATAATTTTTTGAACGATTGGTGCTAGAATCTTTATAACTCACATGCTATGCTTTGTGAGAAGACCATTTCTTGGATATAAACATTTTTTATGCCCCCGTAATAGAAAATTCGGGGGTAAATAATTATGTTTTGCCCTGTCTGTCTGTTTATCTGTTAGTTTGCCCGCAAAAACTTTATCCTTGTTAATAACTTTTGAGTGGGTGGGGCTATGGCTTTCAAATTTCACATGTGTATTTTTTGTGGTAAGGCCTTTCTTTTGATTCCACCTCGTGACCTTGACCTTGGAGTTTGACCCACTTTACCCATACTTTACATGTGTATTCATTGTGACAAGACCTTTCATTGAGAATAAAAATACTTGTCCTTTTGACCTTGACCTTAGAGTTTAACTCACTTTTTGAAAACTTTAACTTCAACCATAACTTTTGAACAATTAGTACAAGCACACAGGTGTATTCATTGTGTGAAAATCGTCCTTTGGGTTCCAACAATTTAAACTTTTTGACCTTGATTGTAACTTGCTTTTGAGAACTTTCAACCCTCTCCATAAGCTGACATAAAAAGGCATCAGTGTTTCACAAACACATCTTGTTACCTCTTGACCTTGGCCTTGTGGTTTCGCACACTTAAAAAAATATAACCTTGAATATAACTTTTGAACAGTGAGTACTAGGGCTTTCTTATTAACAAGTGTATTCTTCTGAATCTTTGACACTAGCTCTTTCATATGTCACAGGTGTATACTAGTGTCTTGTAACAAGATCGTCCTTGGGTGTGATTAAATTAGACCATTTGACGACCTTGATGCTTGGCCTACATTAGAAAAACCTTTTCAACGGTTGGTACTAATTCTTTCATATTCCACAGACATATTTCTTGAGATAAGACCTTTCTTTAGTGACGACATTTTTTTACTTCTTGGCCTTTACCTTTGAGTTTTACTTACATTTGAGAAACTTTCACCTTCGCCATGAACTTCCATACGAGGACATCAGTTTTTCTCAATTGTTTTTTTTTTTCACAAAAAGTTAAAGAAGTACACTTGTATGCTGAATGATGATTTTCACGTTATATGATTTTTTTTGCAGGTGTGGTCGATTCTGTATATGAGCCTTGTCATTCTGTCCATCATCTGCATGTTCACAAGTACCCTCGCCTCGTGCAGAGTGGAACCAAAGAACACATTCTTTCAAAGATACGTACCCAAACACATTGCAGAGAACAGCTTCTATGTTATTGTTCCACCACGATTTACGAATTTTTCAGAACCCTGTATCGACCATTGCGATACTTTACCCACACACAACAACAGGGTGTTGACTTTTTTGACTACCCAGCCCCACAGTGCATTATTATTTTTTGACTTATTCTGTCTTATATTTTTTACGACAGAGATAATCATTCGATTTGTTTTTGGTAGACGGCGGTGGCGCATGCTCAAATCGTTCACGACGATATGCGATATCCTCTATCTTATTCCGGCGACATGTATGTTTGCAATCGACTTCTATGATCGGACACACTGGCACAATGTGAATAGAATAGGATGGTTTCTTTTGCTCCAGACCCTGATGACTCTCCGAGTTCTACGATTGTTTCGATTTACAGGGCATTACCATGGCCTGAAAACCTTGTGGCTGGCAGTGAAAGCAAGCAAACGTGAATTGTTTCTGCTTTTTATATTCATGATAATGGCAACCTCATTTTTTGCAACATTTATCTTTTGTACCGAATTTTTTGAAGCATCAAGTTATTACAACAATATTTACATAGGAATGTGGTGGTCATTGATCACCATGACAACGGTAGGGTATGGCGATTTTTATCCGAATTCTGCCTTCGGATACGTCCTTGCTTCCTTTTGTGCATTGACTGGTATCATTTTAATGGGAATGCCCGTACCGCTGATAGCCCGTAATTTCCATTCTTTTTATGGGTTACAGTTCTACCATGCACGCGAGTATCAAATCAAACATATTCGACGTGACGAGGACAACGACTTGGCGAAGGAAGTGCCCAAAGAACAAAGGGAAGTTGAAGAACCGGAAGTTAAAACTAAGCCGAAGAAAGCGGATGTGAAAGAAAAACAAAATGAGTTTAAGGTTATCGTCACCGAAGAAAAGACAGGCGAAGAAAAATTCATTGACACTATTCAGAGCGCAGTAGAAAAGCGCAACAAACTCATGGCCTTGTTTGAAAGAAATAAAGTCAGCCCTGTTAATGAAGATGGTGAAAATATAGCAATGAAAAGAAGGCGTCAGAGTTTGTAAAATTAGGATTAATCCATATATTTATGTATACAATAAGTATTGTAAGTAATACATTTGTTAATTGAACTGATTGACATAAAAAAAAAGAAATTTCTTCATAATTCAGTGTATAGGATTTTCTGCTTTTACATGTTCATGTATTTGAATTGTAATGAATATTATATAATAATGAATTTAAAAAAATAACCAAAAGATCTGTAGTTGTTTAAAATATAACACCGTTTCTGAATAATTTTCTGGTGCCAAATAAATTATAATCTTTTTTTTTGGCATAGATTCTTCTTTGTGAGAAATATCAGTTAAAATTGTTATAGAAGCCTCATGCGTAAAACGCAGTCGGACTTAGTATACGTTTTCAACTGTATGTTTGCTAAAGGTAATACTACTATATATTTTTACCTCCAATCGTTGACTAGAAAGGGAAAAGGCCTTTGAAATGTTTTCAAGCTCTCAAAAAATTTAATAGTAATCTTGTTTATACATGTATATCATTATAGCATTTTTGTTGTCTTTAGTTCCACAATTAACAATTACAAATCACGCAAATCAAAAATTTGCTAACGTCAAAGGAAACTTGAGAACTTTTAATATCAGAAAATTTCCATTACTTACTAGTAATTAAGAAAATTAAACGAGAACGTGATTTTAGTATATGTATTAAATTATTTTATTATGTTCACATTGTTTTCAATTTCACAATTAACATCGTCTGGAAATGTATGAAGAATTTGTGAGCATCAAATAAACTGCTTTTCATTTTCTAAAAATTCCATTTCTCATAAATGAAATGAATTTCGAATATTATTATCACCTCAAAGTGTTTATTGAAATTTGTTACATTCTGTTAAAACTGATGCTTTGCGTTTATTACACAGTTGACAGTGTAATGGGGTGGGGTGGGGGTGATCACCTGCCTAAAGGCGGATTAACACGGTAATGCAAGCTGTATACAACTTGTCGTACACAACTTTTGTAATATGTTTCTCACCTGTCCCCACGGTTAAACGGATTTCTATTTAAGGTCAAGATCTAGTAAATGAAAGGTGCCTACAGATTTATCAAACTTGAGAAATAAATTCCTTTATTGATGCTTTACAACTTTAGCTTGGTCAAATAAGGTGTTTCGGGGCATGTCAGTCAATACATCGGGTCTCAATTACATGTACTCAGTGGTTAGAGCGCTGGCACGGTACGCAAGAGACCATCGGTTCGAGTCCCAGTTGAGACTGTTTCTTCATCACCTGACACGGCGAAATTGAATCTCAATAGCGACAATTTTCCAAAATCGGAAGATATGCTGTATATTAGACAGAATTGTGTAATATCTTCAACACTGACAAATTTTTCTTTTATTAAATTACCTTATATGGCTATTTTCAAGTATTTTTATTAATTCGCACAGCTGATCTTATTACGAAACACATTGACCAATCGTTGAATGAATAGCAACGGCTGCAACGTTTAGGCCAACTAGCCAACTACAGGTTTCCATTTTACTTCAAACACGTGATTCAGGTCGATCATAAATCCTGCTAATCCTGCATATCTTAACTGCACTTATTGCACTGGACTAGAATGCAATTTCAATTAAAATAAATTAAGTCCAACTCAATTAAAATTTGAGATAAAAACCAACACTATTGTTATGTTCTGAAAAAATTTTTTTTAATTAAAAGAAAGACTGGATACGTATTTCTTCTTATTTCACAATTTTAAATATTTCTTTTCTTTGATATGAATCAAAATTAACAATAAAAAATTATATCGAAGGACGTTTCGCTAAAGTTCCCTATTGTTTTTTCTTTATCGAACAAGTAGTTTTGCTATGCGAAAACCCTCAGAAAAAATGAACACTCGTCTTTGACTGATTAGTATTTTTTTTTTATTTACATGAGAATCACTACTGTAACAGCTTATCTGAATAGGTATTTAGTTCTGGATAAGAATGCAAAGTCAGTCAAAATAATCAAATTCAATTTGTGATTTTATTGAAAATAAGGTTGAAACTGACTATTTTTCTAATTCAGTTTTCTTTAAAAGCGATTTGAAAAACAGAAAAACGGACTGAATTCACATTTTCTTGAATGCTTGTTGTCTTTGATATGAATCATAATTAACAACCCACTAATTATGTGGAGATTAATATGATATACAGAATATCTGGGGGTTTTCTTTGGTTGGAGATATGCATTAGGGAGTATAACGAAATTTACTCTTATAACAGTACTAGAGCTGATCAAAACAACGGCTACTTTTGCTGATTTTTCAATATCAAAAACTGATTGGGTATATGGTAAACATCCAGAGGAAATTGTGTGTTGAGCAAAGTTCTGTCAATTGCAAACTAATCAATTCCATTCTCCTTTCAAAGACGTAACCGCACTGCAGTGCATTGGAATGTTCTGCTCACTCTCTGGTTGACGTACAATCTATATATTTCAAACATATTTGGTCAGTATTAATTCAAGTATGATTTTATGAAAAATATGTTAAAATGTACTCATATTCACATTTAGTGTTCTTCTTAATGGGTTTATTTACAATTATTCTTGAGTTTATTTATATGATTGCTCTCTTACTATATATCTGAGTTAGCAATTGATAATATCGGCAACATTCTTCATAATAAAGTTACATTTTATTGCTGAAATGCATCTTTTGGGGTATGCAAAACAGTGAAAAACAAATGAACTTTTATGTGTGATTAATGAGTAGAGATTTTGAGACTCAATCAAACTAAGCGCCGATTTACGATGTAGAACAATCAACAGGCTTTTCAATACTGCTCTTAATGTATCAGTACTTGTTTAGTGAGATACATTCACACTAAAATCAGACTTTACACGTGACCTTACCGTTGGTCACTCTGACTTTGTCACGAAATCATTCGGTAATGGCTCTCTGAAGTCTTATGTAGTTTACAAGCTTACCGCCTGTTAGCATTGACTGAACATTTGCATAATATAAAGCAGAGAGCAAAGATCGTCTTATCTACGTTGTTCAAAGGGCCATAATTTGAGTTATCGAACTTTGTAGAAACTTACATTATGCAAATTTCACATTTTACAATCAGTCGCAAGGGAAAAATGTATAAGTAGCCTGTCTTTAGAGGGTGGATGGTGGGGGAATATTTCAATACACTAAGAAGTAAAGTAATTGTGCTTGTCTAATGAACAGTATTATTGCACGATACTGCACACTGCTGCAATACAATGCAATGCACTGTAATGCTTTACTAATTAACACACTAATTCTATTTCGTGCTCTGAAATAAAAAAACAAAACAACAACAAACAAACATGATGGAATTGCTTTTAATTCACACATTTCCTCATATTAGTTTTCTTTGAGAGGAATCAAAAGAAACTATCAGAAAATGTGTCGAAAGACTTTTCGACAAAGTTACGTATTATTTTTCATCAACCGACTAGTTTAGTATGCAAAACATTCTGAAGAAAGACTTGTCTTTCACTGCTGAATGTATTTATATTTACAAGGGAATTAATCTTGCTTTTCGTAATAAGAATTTAACTGCACTTATTGCATTGGACTAGAATGCAATTTCAATTAAAATACAGTGTAAATTAAGTCCAATTCAATTAAAATCTGAGATAAAAACCAACACTATTTTTATTTCATGTTCTGAAAAAAAAAATTATTTTTATTTAAAAAAAAAGGGAAGACTATATACGGATTTCGTTTTATTTCATAATTTTTAAATATTTGTTTTCATTGATATGAATCAAAATTAACAATAAAAAAAATCATATCGAAGGACTTTTCGCTTAAGTTCTCTATTGCTTTTTAGCTCACCTGAGCCGAAGGCTCAAGTGAGCTTTTTCCTGATCAAAATTTGTGCGTTGTCTGTCGTCGTTGTCGTAAACTTTTCACATTTTCATCTTCTTCTCAAGAACCACCGGGCCAATTTCAACCAAACTTGCCACAAAATATCCTTAGGTGAAGAGGATTCAAGTTTGTTCAAATGAAGGGCCACGTCCTCTTCCAAGGGGAGATATTTATGAATTAGTGAAAAATTAATGGCATTTTTAAGAAATCTTCTTAAGAACCACTGGGCCAGGAAAGATGAAACTCATGTGGAAGCATCCTCAGGTAGTGTAGATGCAAGTTTGTTCAAATCATGACCCCAAGGTAGGGTGGGGCCACAATGGCCGATCAAAGTTTTAAATAGGCATATATAGGAAAAATATTTTAAAATCATCTTCTCAAGAACCACTTGGCCAGGAAAGATGAAACTCGTGTGGAAGCATCCTCAGGTAGAGTAGATGCAAGTTTGTACAAATAATGACCCGCGGGGGTAGGGTGGGGCCACAATGGCCGATCAAAGTTTTACATAGGATTATATAGGAAAAAGTCTTTAAAAATCTTCTTCTCAAGATCCAATGGGCCAGGAAAGACGAAACTCATGTGGAAGCATCCTCAGGTAGTATAGATTCAAGTTTGTACAAGTCATGATCCCCGGGGGTAGGGTGGGGCCACAATGGGCGATCAGAGTTTTACATAGGTATATATAGGAAAAAGTCTTTAAAAATCTTCTTCTCAAGATCCACTGGGTCAGGAAAGATGAAACTCATGTGGAATCATCCTCAGGTAGTGTAGATTCAAGTTTTTTCAAATCATGACCCCCGGGGAAAGGATGGGGCCAAAATGGCCGATCAAAGTTTCACATAAGAATATATAGAAAAATCTTTAAAAATCTTCTTTTCAAGTACTTCAAAGCCATGATTAGTGATATTTATATGGAATCAAGATATTTATTGAATTAAGTATTGCAGGCCACCGGCCCAAAGTACATTCATATTTTACAATGTTATATTTACAATTTTAGATCAGGCTTACCAGGTATACAATATGGAAACATATAGACTATACTTATAAATTATCACATATTAAATTCTCAATGAACTTTTCCCTCTCTTTAAAAGCTAAAAAGGAAAATTTTGCGATATCATTTAACACTGCATCATTTCCATATATAAGCATATTCACAGTGTTTTTATAAAATCTTAAGTGTT